CTCACGTTGAGGATAATCTGTACAAGCTTTGTAAGTTAGGAATAAAATTGAAACTGTAAAGTTCATTATTTTATTTTTAGGTACAGAAAGCGGTGTCTTAAAATCCAAGTACACCAGATCCCAGTTCAATCCTTGTAAAGAAAAACTTCTCGATAAAGACCAACTTTTGCACGGAGCCACAGAAAAGGAAATCACATTGCGTGAAGCTGCTGCTTGCGCTAGTCCCTCTGGTTCTCAGGGATACCAACGATGTCAGTGCAAAACCAAATGCAAGACCAAGAAATGTTTATGTAACTCGACAGGAATATTATGTAATTCAAAATGCCATGGAAGCCTGCCTTGTGAGAATAAAGCAGACAATTAGCACAATAACACCCTGCTTATTTTCATCATTGTCTAACATGATGTGGTCATTAACGACAGTGCCCAGTCGTTGTTGTTAATTGTATCGAATGTGTTTTACATCTAACAACATTGCCCACTATTAGAGGGAATTTACGTTACCGACCGGCCATTAACGTAAAAATCGACAGAAATGGCTTTTAACGATATTGCCCGGTCCATAAACGACATATTTTAGATTGTAAATGACCGGTTTACATCATCACCCGTAACATATATATGGAAAACTAGCAGCTTCAGATATGGAAATAGCCAACGTTCCACATTGGAGGACCAGACTCATCCGCGAGTCCATCGAAATAGAGAAGAACGGTACCTTCAACAAGAGAGAGGTCCTACACCGTCCCCGATTCGGAGCCAAGGTTTATATATAAAAGGTTGTCTAGGTTCGTACGCAACCATACTGCGCATTACGTCACATGTGGAAAATAATACCGCCAAGCAATTCAAATTAAACAAATGCATGGAGCACCACATGGCCCTGAGGTTGCGTGCGCAATCCGTGATCGCTTACGTCACGAAACACTCCTGCTCTTGCCCCTCGCCCACCAGCTAAAATCAAAGTATTGTAGCATAGGAATTTAGACAACCATTAATATATAAACCTTGATCCGGAGCAGCCTTCCTGAGAGATGGACCGTCAGGTTCCAGAGAGCAGGTTAATGAACCCTCCGCACCACCTGCGACATCCGGTGAAAAATCCGGCTTTGGGGATTTTGGGCACACCATAGAGTTTGGGGCATCTGTTTGATTTTTCCCGAGGGATTAAGGTTTTCTTGATCTCGGAGTGTATTGCCTCTATTTATTATCGATTTGAAGGTTTTTTTCTAGGTAAGTTGTAGGGTTTCTTGCTGCAAAAAAAATTAAAAATCGTATAAACGATTAAAATATTTTATTTCGGTGCTATCTTCGAAGATTTCGAACGATTATCGTCCTTCTTCAGGCACGACTATGGGAACAAAGGAACATTCAGATATAACAAACACACAGATAAAAAATATAGATAATTACCGTCGGTGTAGGAGCATCGAGTATTGTTTCAAGCATCGGAGAGAATTTCTTCAAAAAGATTCCGTTTACGAAAAATTCAAAAGTAAAGAACCTGAATTTACTCTCCGAGTAAATTGAAAAATCCAAAAAATTAAAATGGCGTTTCTCCATTCATTGTAAATCTCGTTTTTCAAAAATAAATGTTAAAAATGAACGACAAAACAAATTACCAAACCTGTAGAGAAAGAACCATAATAACTAAATATAAGAAATCATAAAAGAAAGAAAATTTTTAAACTTACAATTAACACGTAAAAATTTCCTTTAAAATTAAATAACTTGAGTCAGCATGATGAGGGGTGAAATTAGACTGAGGTCATAAGGAACGTTCGCCAGATGATAAAGGTGAAAGAGTGAGGGAAAACAAGTGGGATTAAGAACGTCAACATAAAATCTTTCCATACTAAATCAATTCAACATTAAAAATCTGAAATAGAAAATCTTATTGTTACCATGGGAGACAAAAATTCAGGCCTCGTTGTGTTGGATAAAGAGTCATACATAAAAAAGACATTAACATTTTTCAAAGAAAATAACATTTTAAACGATCAACATTATTTAAAAAAAATTAACATCACTCCATACAACTCCATTGAAATGAACCCTTCGATACCCACCCTTAAAAGCCTTATCAAACTTCATAAAACAGTCATCAGCAACATGAACACCACTACCAATAAGAAGTTTTAACGTGTTAATCGGTCAAATCGTTCTTTAGTTATAGCGATTTTAATCAAAATTAATTTTTTCTAATTGGGGACTAGACTTCCAGTTGGTAGATACATGGAGTGATTTAAATGGTAAAATAATACTATTTTAATATCAAATTATTTTTTTATTTTATTTTAAAGTAGTATAAATTTGCCGATTCAAGAACCTCCTCCTAGAACGCAGGTTCGAAATGTAACAATTATTAACTAACAATTTTTATTATTAGTGCAACAAAACATAAGAGGGGGAATATAAATTAAAAATAGTGCTGCCATCTCTTAATCATATCCATTATTATTAGAAAATCCACCAGCGCCCCCATAGCGGACAAATCGAAAAATAACACTTTACTCGTTACCAATTTTTACGTAGCGGTTAGCAGTTTGGTGTAGAAGGGTTAATAAATGTATTGAAGTGAGTGGGGAAATATTTAAACATTTATTATAAATTTTATACTTGTTGATTAATAGTATAGTTTAATCATTTTTTATAAATAAACAATATCAAAAACTATTTGAATAAGAAAATTATTTAGATTTTGTCTACAAAAGATGTTTCGCCGTTTAAAAAGGCCATTTAAAAAGGAGGACCCCATTTATTGTTCCATAGATATGAGATGTTCAAATTGTTTGCCTGATATACGCCACGTGCATATAAAAGAGCAATAATTGCATTTAGTTTTGCAGAAGTAAGATTTCATTCAGTTCTTAATTTTCGAGAGGCTTCTTCTTCTGCGCATTTTCTTATGTGCTCCATTACATGATTGTCAATAAGCAAAGAAAACTTTCCTCTTCATAATATTTCGTTTGGTATATGCTGTTGGGCCTACAACTTCCCTAAAAGTATTATAAATTGACGGTCGTCCAGGTCTTGAGCTTGGTTCTATTTCTTGCCAAACTGTCTTCCACATCACTCTCTACTTAATATACACCAACGATTTGCCAATAAACGTAAACGAATGTCACGGCGAAGCTAAGTAGTGCTATCTACACCATCCGAATGCTTAGGAAAACTGCAACCTACAAAGCAGCGCATTGTGCTTACTTTTCGTTGTTTCATTCTGTGGCCACGTACGGTATATTAATATGGGGATCATCAACATCTGCAAGCAAAGTGTTTCTGAAACAAAAAGAAGCTGTAAGGGTGCTTTATGGAATGGGTTACCGGGAAAGTTGCACGCAAGTATTCCTCAATAACATACTTATCATACCGTGTGAATATATGCTTTTCTGTATTTTGCATATTCATGAAAGAAAAGGTGTGTTAACAAGAGGCTCCACTGTTCATAGGCACAATACAAGATATGCGGACAACCTTAGGCTGCCACGTCACCGGATAAACAAAACGCAACATGGGACGAACCACATCGGTATCCATTTGTACAATAAACTGCCGGAGGAAATTCGCAACATACCCTTGCCGAAATTCAAAGCGGAGGTGAAAAGGTTATTGCTTCGAGATGGATTTTATTCCATAGATGAATATATGTCAATATATTACATGTTATTATTGTATCTTAAATTAATGTAATACTTTCGACAAGCCTAACACTTTATTTTGTATTGTTTAGGCAATAAAGTAAGTATTAAATATTAAAATGTTATACATATTACTATATATAGCAAAAAAATATATCATTTAGCACAATTTGGTACATGAATAAAACAATTTATTTCAAATAACAATTTTCGGTGCATTATAAATAATTTCTAAATCTTGTATATGTTGCTCAACGAGATTTGTTTTTCTTATATTAATCACTTTCCTTCCCATGGTATCCAAATATTTATGAGTAACAGTGTCAGGAAGGCGTTCAACATCGTACGGCAAATTTAATTTAATATTTTGAACTCCAATCGGCAAAACGATGCTCGTTTCCAATTCCTTAACATACATATCATCAAAAACGTGATCCAAAAGGCGCATTCTCAACAAATATTGTCCAGAAGCCGATTTCATTAAATATTGATAACTCGGAACGCTATATCCTAAAGTGTAAGAACTTTTCCATCCTCCAAAAAGTGGAAATCTCGGGCGCAACTCCAATTCAATCCAATCCTTCTTAATACGAACTTGCGAAGTTGAAATATTTCCATTGCTATCCCGATAATAAATGCTATGGGCTGCAGCTGGTAAAGCTGTATGATAAGATTTGATGCTATGGTGGGATCCACTTGTATCTCTTTGATAATCATAACGTGAAAAAGCCCCTTTTAATTTCGCACCGGAATCTGCTATATCAAAAATCTGGGAAGTGGCCATACGAGATCGTCTAAATAGTTATTTTTAATGTAAAACCTTCTGGAATTGCAGCCATCACGGTTACAGAAAAGGGAAATCCACACTAACAGCTATGGCACATATGATTGAATGCATATTCGAAGCTATTGATAAAAACAGGAAGGTGGAAGCTATTTTCTGTGATTTGAGCAAGGCATTTGACACCATGGATCACAAAATATTACTCAGAAAAATGCATTTTTATGGAATTAGAGAATAAACAGTAATAAACTAATAGAAACATACCTGACAAACAGAAAACAATTTGTAAAATGGAAACAACAAGGCTCTACAGAAACTGTAATGAATATAGGTGCTATTGGTCCGTTGCTCTACTTAATATACACCAACGATTTGGCAATAAACGTAAACGCCTCTGTCATACTTCAGTACGCCGATGATACATCGTTTCTTAATTATTGTGAGGAAGAGACACAACTAATCCAAAAGACGGAAGAAACGAAGAAATATTAAAGATCACGACCAAGATGGAAGGTGGCAACAGATGTATAAAATTCCTTGGTGTTCTACTGGACCAGAAACTTACCTTTGAGAACCATGTACAGAAAGTCACGGCGAAGCTAAGTAGTGCTATCTACACCATCCGAATGCTTAGGAAAACTGCAACCTACGAAGCAGCGCATTGTGCTTACTTTTCGTTGTTTCATTCTGTGGCCACGTACAGTATATTAATATGGGGATCATCAACATCTGCAAGCAGTGTTTCTGAAACAAAAAGAAGTTGTAAGGATGCTTTATGGAATGGATTACCGGGAAAGTTGCAGGCAAATATTCCTCAATAATTATTGCTTCGAGATGGATTTTATGTCAATGTAATGGATATATCTCAACATATTGCACGTTAATATTATATCTTAAATTAATGTAATACTTTCGACAAGCCAACACTTTATTTTGTATTGTTTAGGCAATAAAGTAAGTATTAAATATTAAAATGTTATACATATTACTAAGTATAGCGAAAAAATATATCATTTAGCACAATTTGGTACATGAATAAAACAATTTATTTCAAATAACGCTTCAAAATTGTTTATTTATTAAATTTAAAAGAAAAGCTTTATTCATGTTCACCGCATATTTTGCAAATTATTGTATATTTTTCCATACACATATTTGTTGCATTTGAAATTGAGTTGATATTTTTTGAATAATAGACCTTCTGCGCCGACCATGTTTGCGATTTCGATTTCACGGAGTATTTTTTTGCCATCTGATCCCTTTTGTCTACACCGTATTTAGTACTATTGTAGAATTTGATCGTTTCAGGTAAACGCTTACCGCTTTTTTCGATGCTTATAGATTTATGCTTTGAGCTTAGTAGAAGCACTTTTTTGTTTGGCTTACTTTTGTAAATGGTAAGTAAACAATGTCTCGATTTATATAATTTTGTTGAGAAGCGTGGCATACCTTGCGTGGCTTATATCTAGGCTAGGGCACACAAATGTTATTTTTATGTCAATACCATACATAAACCCCAAGTTTAATGTCAATCAGTAAATATATGAAATGAACTGTACTTTATTCGAATATTGTACCAAATATGTAAGTAAGGGTTTAATTTATTTTGAAGTAAATAATATAGTAGGAGGGAATCATTATAATAAAGGTGGTATTCATTTGAATGGTTATGGGAAATCAGAAGTTTTTAATATGTTGTGTAATGTTATTGACGCTTATAGGTGTTGTTCGTTTTTTAATCACGCTGACGTAAATGACAATTTAATATATGCTACCATTGACCCAGAATGCGCGTCGGCTCGTGTTTGACAATACAACAAGATCTGAGTCCGGTTCCTGTGTTGATCCCATTTTCAAGCGTATATTGCCGAATTACGAGGTAATTTCTATTTTTCATTTGAATGCTCAGGGGCTGCGTCTGAAGATAGGTGAGCTTGAAGTGTTTTTTGAAAGTCATAAAACGGTTTTTGATTTTGTTTGCATAAGTAAACATTTCCTTGCATAAGCAATCGAAAGATGTTTGCGATTTCGATTTCACGGAGTATTTTTTTGCCATCTGATCCCTCTTGTCTACACCGTATTTAGTACTATCGTAGACCGGCCCACTTTGACGCCTTCGCTATGTCGGTGCTGCTCAAGTATGACATTTTTAAGGATGACACACTGTCTTGTGCTGAACCCAACGAAATCACAAGCTATTCTGTTCGGACCGACACGTGGCAGTGGGTGCGGGGATTAACTCGGGTTGACCTGTGTTAAGCATCTCGGTCTTTTTCTGGACAGGAATCTGCGATTTGTTAAGAATACCTCTTACTTAATAAGTAAGTCGTACAGCGCTCTTAAATCCATATTTCATCAGCGCATGTTTTCTCCCAGTCTTGTAGGGTCATGCTGTGTGAATCTTTAGTGCTTAGCAACTTGAACTATTTGGACACGGTCTATGGTGAGTTTTTGTATAGAAGGGATAAAGACAGATTACAAAAAGTGCAGAATTCCTGTCTTAGAATGATTTACGGGATTCGACGTCCTCACCGAATTAGCTATAAGCTGTCTGACCATAGATATGNGGAACGAAACCCCGGCGTAAAACGACGTTTACCTGTATTAAAATGTTATACATATTACTATGTATAGCGAAAAAATATATCATTTAGCACAATTTGGTACATGAATAAAACAATTTATTTCAAATAACGCTTCAAAATTGTTTATTTATTAAATTTTAAAAAAATACTTTATTCATGTTCACCGCATATTTTGCAAATTATTGTATATTTTTCCACACACGTATTTATTGCATTTGAAACTGAGTTGATATTTTTTGTATAAATAGACCTTCTGCGCCGGCCATGTTTGCGATTTCGATTTCACGGAGTATTTTTTTGCCATCTGATCCCTCTTGTCTACACCGTATTTAGTACTATTGTAGACCGGCCCACTTTGACGCCTTCGCTATGTCGGTGCTGCACAAGTATGACATTTTGAAGGATGACACACTGTCTTGTGCTGAACCCAACGAAATCACAAGCTATTTTGTTCGGGCCGACACGTGGCCATGGGTGCGGGGATTAACTCGGTCTCTTTCTGGACAGGAATCTGCGTTTTGTTAAGAATACCTCTTACTTAATAAGTAAGTCATACAGCGCTTAAGTCCATATTTCATCACCGGCATGTTTTCTCCAAGTCTTGTAGGGTCATGCTGTGTGAATCTTTAGTGCTTAGCAACTTGAACTACTTGGACACGGTCTATGGTGAGTTTTTGTATAGAAGGGATAAAGACAGATTACAAAAAGTGCAGAATNTGAAAATTTTGATAACATTGACCGTTTTCGAGTTATACGCGAAAATATTAAGCTTCGATTTCAATGGTAACACTAAAAAACAAAGTCTTCGAAAAAGTCAAGGTTGGCCATGGCAATTAAAAAAAACAACTTGCTGTCAACTTGCTCATGTCGTTTAAACACAAACGATAGTTCTGTTAGTTATTATTAATTTTAAGTGTTCAAAATGGAGAGTTACACATTTAGTGAACAAACTGACATGATTTTGACATTAGGGCAATGTCAAGCAGCCGCTAACCGTTATCAGGAGAAATTTTCGAACCGCAGAACGCCCAATCGAAAAACATTTTTAAGGATTGAAACCCGTTTAAGGGAAAATGGGACGTGTAAGCCGAAATATGCAGTCTGCATATTGCCAAATAATGCAGCACAAAATCCAAATTGATGATCAGTTTTTAGGAAAAGTACTTTTTACGGATGAATCCACTTTTTCTAAAGATGCAATCTTCAATTTGAGAAATTTACATAGTTGGGCGGACGAAAATCCAAGATTTAAGAAAACTTGGAAATCACAATGGAGATTTTCTCATAACGTTTGGGCTGGCATTGTGGGCGATGTAATTATTGGACCCGTTTTCTTGCCATCAAGGCTGGATGGACATACATACAGGCGACATTTAGAAGAATTAGATGATTTTTTAGATGACGTTCCTTTAAACACAAGGCAAGCAATGTGGTATATGCATGATGGTGCTCCTGCGCATAGCACACAGGCTGTCCAAGAATTTCTGAGGGAACGTTTTCCGGGACGGTGGATTGGACGAGGAGTAGGTGCACCCATAAGTTGGCCCCCCGATCGCCGGATCTTACACCTGTAGATTTTTATTTATGGGAACGCGTTAAACCACTAGTTTACTGCGTTGAAATAACTTCAGTTGATCAACTGAGGTTGCAAATTGTTGATTCATTTGATCAACTTCGAACTGAGATCAATGTTCTCCGCAGAGTGCGCTTTAATTTAAGACGGCGATATCAGGCAGTGTTTTTGAACATCTGCTTTAGTATTTTTTTCTTCTT